GAGCAAAACCCGAACCGAAAACAGCAAAATATCTTTTCGAAACAGCAAGGCAACTCCCGAAAAACTTGAAAGGCAAAAACAAAGCAAACAGAAGGCAAAATACCAGCGAGGTAAATCACACAAGCAAGCCACGATGGCAACTCTTCTCCGGAAACAACTCAAACTGCGCATGCGTCAATAAGATCACCCGCTGACCAACAGAAGATCTCCCAGCTAACTATGATTATTGATAATCTCATTTAAATCTCTTCCATGGTATAAAAAGAAAAGCTGTCAGGAGTAACAGTAGTTTACATTAAAATATTCATTAACGTACGTACGTCTTTTCCCTGCATTTCAATCATAAACTATCGATTTAACGTCCTTCTCCCAAATCATTCGCCAGAAATCGTTGACTGTCTCCTTCAATGGGCCTAGAAAGAATTAAGTACGAGATAAAATAAGGTAGATTAATAGGCAATAGAGCGGATTTCAGTTGAGTGAAAACCCAAGTAATTACAATAACCAATCAAAACAAACGCAAAACCACACAATGAACCAATGAACTCGAAACAAATACACGTAACGGACGCTAAGCGCGGGGAAAACGCGTGCGACCAAGTCGCGATTGTCGCGATTGGTTTTGGTTCTGCATTCTGTTGGTCGAAAAGGTGCGCGAGTTTTTTGAGCCAATCACAGTGGGTAGTAAAATTTTTTCTGGAGTCTCGCTCTCGTTTGGCCCGAGGTGATGACGAGAGTCGATGAGAGATGAAGAAATTCTCTAATTAGAGCCTGGGCTCTAGCGGGAGTACAAGATATAAGTTACCGTGACAAAACAGAGGGTTACCTCACTCGAAATGTTGAACTGCTTACGCCTTACAAACGACTCAGCGCTTAGTTAAAATTAAACATCATTTAAGCAAAATAGTTGTTTTAATACCTTGAGTTGCAATGTACTTGGCTGGAAAGCTGTATCCCTAAAATTGAACACATTACAAGCAATGATACGATGCATTTGTTAAATTTCAAGTTCGACGTTTAAATTGAAGAAAATATCAATCAATATAATGAAGAACAATCTTACGTCCACATAATTAGCATTGATGTAGTCTGATCCGGGAATTTCTCTCTTGGCTGTGAGCACAACGCGACTGTGATCATCTGAAGAAAGAACATTTAACTCATTGATTAATTTTATAGTAACCCGGCATCTCTGTAGTGTTGATTATAACTGTTATTATATGACTGATTAAAAATTACTTCATTGTGATTGGCTGAGAGCAGGAAAATTTATCATTGAGTTATTAATTGCAATGCTGTGCAAATTAATGTTGCCGTGGCAACGGATGTGACGCAGTGCCGGCGGTAATTTGAAAAACAGTCAAAATGGCCGAGCATTTCCCCTCTTCAATCGCGGCAGCGTTAGAAGAACTAAAGCAGCACGCAAAAAAAATGCTAACACGACCAAAAGTACCACAAATTGGCTGAGTACATCTCTGAGTGTAGAGAATTTTCAAATATCACTTGTAGTGTAAATCCTTAATTGCACTCGCAGTCATACGATTACCAATACAAATAAGACAATATGCTCCTTGAAAAAAAAGCCTAATTATACTAAGGGAAAATAGCGACGGATATTTGTCTCCAATTTTGAAATTGAAGCACGCATTCTGAAAAAGAAAGTATGGATAGAACCAGAGAAACAACAGAAAGGTTTGGACAATTATTTGACATTTTTCTACATTGGTATAGGATGATGAAAATTTGAACTTACATGCCACTATATTACAGTAGCGATTTTTGGTTCTGTTATGCGAGACCTGACTCGCTTCCCACGTAGATCTCCACGTGAGGACGATCAAGGCACTGAAAAGTAAGATAAAAGGTAGTAAATAAATAGTCATTTATATAGTAAGCAAAACATATTGTCAATCTATTACGAAGGTAGAGATCATCGCAGTGAAAGATTTACCAAGCAGTTGCAAAGAGAAACCTGAAAAAAAATTCAGGCTTGAACAGGATTCGAACCCAGGACCTTGTGATGCTGGTGCAATGCTCTTACCAACTGAGCTACCAAGCCCACTGGGAGCTGGTCATTTTGTGAGTGACTCTCAAAATGTATTCTCAATATATTCTCATTCATATACGAGATTTCAAACCAAGGGCGCAGGGTTTACATTAACACGTCTAACACCAATCTTGTTCCTAGAGCCTCCTTCTCTACTGAGTCAGCAACAGGGAGGAGCGAGGGCTCTGGGAAACGTAACTGATTTGAAAATTCCAGCTGAGTCATACTCGAAGTCAATCTCCTCGTACTCCGATCTAAAGGTCGCTATATCTATTTTTATTTAGGGGGCGAGACGTTTATGAGATCATTTACGGAAACTCTAATGTACAGTTATGAGACTTTCATAATCGATCAGCTGCCAAAACATGGCTTCACTATTGTGACAGAATTCTCACCTTAAACTCGTCGTTGAACAAGGCGTTGTTGTTGTCATGGAAATGAGCACAGTGTTCCGCGAGATCCTTAACAGGAATAGGTCGCCTGGGACGAGCACTTTGTGATATGATGGACACTACAAATCAATAACATGAAGCCACGGTGAGTAAGTCGAACCTCCACTAACGGCCACCTCTCTACAACGGCCAGGATTTACGTCTCGCCCAAGCACCGATTCACTTTACTCTCTCTTAGTGAAACCTCCCTACAACGACCACCTCTCTACAACAGACAGGATTTTTCGTCCCGACCGTGCCGCCGATCCATACACTACACTTTACTCTTATTGAAACCTCCCTATAACAGCCACCTCAGTCTCTACAACGGCCAGGATTATTCGTCCTGACCGTGCAGACCGTGAACAAATGGTAGTGTAATATATATCACATTACAGAAGGATATATGGTCAAAACAAACTTACATGTACGTGTATGAATGTCTGCCTGTTTTTTGGAGCGTCGTGATTCTCGTCTGCAAAAAATACAACAGTTAAAGAATATTTCGAAAGAAATGATGGTAGCTTGGTAGATAGACTGCAAAACAGTCGTATTTTTCGCGTTACGATTCATACGCGCGCGGTCTTCGAATGAAAGGTCTGGAGCGAGTGTGAAAACGGAGAGTAGGACTGGGGAGAGACTAGTCTACTTGGTAGAAATATGAGAAAGATGTTACTCAGTCAGTGAAGTGAAAAGCTACTCAGAGATTGCCAAAAAATTGCCTTATTCCCCCACCTGCTAAGAAACGTTTTCGTTCAAACTACCGAAACCGATCATTATACAGTGAAAACCTCTATTAAGCGGCGCTCTGTTAAGTGGTCACCCTCTATTAAGCGGTCACTTATCAAATTCCTGGAAATCGCTCCCCATATTTACTGTAAACTGACCTCTACTAAGCGGTCACCTCTATTGAGCGAAACGCGGTTACCATTTAGACTTCCCAATTGGCTAATTTTATTGTATTTCACCTCAATTAAACGGTCAAGTTAGAGAAACGTCAAGATGTAATAAGCAACCAAAAAAGAACAAGGATGGTTGAGGATGGAGAAGATTAAGACGGATTACGAAACTTGACAAATTTAGGCTAAAATTTGCAAGATGCGCAAACCGTATATTAATATAGTACAAACCTGACCGAGTACAAACGTGGTGATTAAAACCAGGAGAAGAACAAAAACCAACCACTCCAGCTACCAGCCATATTAACTTGGACTTGTAAATCTTAGGCTCACCGAGCTGAAAAAATAAGGTTTATGTTTTTACTGTTGTACTTTTATCCAAGTAAATTAGTTACAATATTACAGACCCTTTCCAATAAAACTGCTAAAACCAAAGTAATCACTCTGGCCAATCACAACAAACGCAAATAACCAAATGAACAATCAGCACACGAAACAAAAACGTACAGCCCGCGTTAAGCGCGGGAAAACATGCAACCGGCGCCAAGCGCGGGAAAACGCGCGTAAGCCAAGTCATGATTTGAAGTCCTGATTGGTTGGAGAAAACGGCATGTGCGCTCTGATTGGTTAAAGCACTTTGTACAACTTGTTTTTAACCAATCACAGAGCCCAGCAAATGCAAACTAAAGCAGACACATAGAATAGAAGGTAGCACATAATAGCAAAGCTAATAAACAACTGGTATATTTCTTCGTTCCTTTCCGAATTTTTGTCTCAGCAGAACGGAACGATACTTTCTCCTAAGAAGGTTTAAACTAACTAATAACCGCTCCAATTACGTAAAGCAAAAGTTATGTTATACTCGTCGTTAAACTGAAAAGTTGTAAAAAATAATGCTTTTTGTTCATCAAGGCCATAATAAAATGTTGTAAAAAGCAATCATTACCTTCAGACGCCTGAATGTTAGGCGAGTGTTGAACAGTAATCTAACACTCATTTGTCCTGCGTAACGAGTTAAACGCCCTGTACCTAGGGTAGGGAGGGTAACATTAGAAGTGAGTCATTTCAGTGGGGTTTTTCAGTGTTAGCAGAAGACTAAAGACGTGCTGCTATAAACAATATCTACTGTACATAATAGTTGCGATAATGTCGGCTAAAGGAGTTATTCACGATGGTTTAAGTCATTTTTACGTTAAACCGACCGAAAACGTAGCAGATTCCAAACCTCGTCCCCAGGGTCTACTCCGCTTTCAGGATGGCGGCTGGGCGCCATCTTGAAAGCGGAGTAGAGCGGAGTAGACCCTGGGGACGAGGTTGGCAGATTTCCTGTCCACAGGACCGATTTCATATCGCTTTCACCTATCCACACGTAAAGACAAAAATGCATCGAAAAACGTTGCAGTCTGTCACTGCACATGCGGATGTGGTGCGCCACAGCAGCGACGAGCCTAGTGACCCCTGAACACAACTGCTGGAGACTTATCCCGGTTTCTGTAGTATGAAGCGACTAGGAGTATTTCTAATTCCCTGGGTGGGATGCTAGTCCATCGCAGGTTACCCCCTAGCATTTTGTCACCGGTACCCAATTATACTCCTGGGTGGAGAATGTCTTGCCCAAGAACACAACACAGTGAGCCAGAGTCCAGGGCTCGAACCCGGACCGCTCGATCCGGAGTCCAACACGCTAATCGTTAGGCCACCGCATCTCGACACAGCAGCGGTGAACTGGATTCGAATTTGTTACGTTAGTGTTTTAAAAGTATCCGTTTATGTCATTCACTCGAGAAAATGGCTGCGCTTTTAAACGTTTTCGCGTGGATCGATGGGGTCGCCAAATGCATCGAAAAACGATGCGGTTTCATGAATGAAAACCTATACCCATAATCAGGCTCCTCCCAAGATCCCACCTGACTGCCGTATGGTCGATGATCTCAGCCAACAGGAGTCTGCCTAATTATATATATATATTTATTCACTTACTTTGATCTTCGTAACTCAGTCTCGACATCAGGGAAGAGTCAATTCAGTACGTCACATACTTCTTTATCGACATCCCGAAGTGCCATAGTAAAGTAGGTTTTAGTCACTCCATCCACTGTGCGCCTGAAGCTGAAGGACGTATTTCTGATAAAATGCCATTGTTTTGTTTCCTTCGGGTCTCCTCCATGAAGAAACTAGGCTAGATTTCTCCTTGTGGTTTCACTGATATCCTGCGTGGAGGATGAGGGGACTGGGGAAACGAATAGAGCAAAGGTCGATAAGGATTAGAACAAAAAGGCAATTTCCGAGTTGATATTTTGCCTCTTATTCAAACGAGGTGCAGAAACCATTCAAATGAAAAATGAGTTTATTTTGCATGAAATGTACAGTAAGTAAAACTAATTTCCATAAGAAAGGTTGTGCACCAGGACTCGTTTTGAAAACAGAGGCCAAAAGGCAACTCGCGAAATGGGTCTATATAACTATTTTATGAGTAAACCTTTTCTGCCTATTGACTACTTGTGAATAAACCATACAAAAATTGACCCCTAAAGCTTGGCTTACTATATAATCCCCCCCCCCCCGTTAAGAACAAATGACATGCGTTATTTTTATATTAGACGCATAAACACGTCTGAAAGAACTTACGGAGGGACGTTTTTTTTAGTGCGTCTGGTTATGGCGTCCCAGTATAACGACGCGACACAAGATTGATAAATATGCGTTAAGCTGGTGGGTAATTTTAAAAAACGTTTCGAAATGAGCTGATAAAGAAAACAAGTTGATGCAGCAATATTAAGATACGTTTTCCATTTACTGATCTTTAATGTCCATTCAAGGTCAGTCAATATATTGGGACCAAAAAAACAAATTTAAAAATACCGAGAAGGTTACAACAGCAACTGGAACATAATGAAACGGAAGGAAGAAAATTAATATGGTCCAAAGTTCAGACAATTTCTGTGAGGACATTTATAAGTAAGGAAGGATTTAAAGGAAAAGTAAGGGGAAATGGGCCTATAAACCGGAAGGGCTAATAAACGGCAGTTCTACGCGCTAAATCCGCATAAGTGGTATAAAGACGGATGTAATCCGTCTGTGGTGCATGTAATAGCCGGGACATCAAACGGAATTATGCGTCTGCATGGTAATGCGTCGAGTCGAGCCACAAAACTGATAATGCGTCAAAAAGAAACTTTATCTTGATTTGTGTGTCTTGAATTACGACGAAACTAAGAGCTTATAGAGCGCGTTCTTCAATTGAGTGTCCGGTTAAAAACAAAACAAAACCAAAGCACAATTACAATGGCCAAGTCCACAACAAACGTTAACCAAACACAATAAACCGAATGAGCAGCTGTGTAAGCCAAAAAGTACACGATAACCACGGCGCCAAGCGACACAGTGGGCACACGGCGTGTGACAAGTCGCTTGCATTGGTTTTGGTTCTGCCATCCTGATGCGTTGAGTAGGTGGACGCCGCAGCTTTTTAAACCAATCACAGTAGGCGTAGTAAAAGCAAAACCAAAGCAACCTGTCGGAGCAATTACTTTCGAACACTCGAATTGACACACCGATTAACTATAAGCTCAAGATAAGGCTTAAAGTTTAGCCGGCGATTATATTTTTCCCCCACTGTAAGCATACCATCTTCAGGCA